ATCTCTCTCTCTCTCTCTCTCTCTCTCTCTCAAATAAATAAAATTTCTTTAGAAAAGCTTTGGAGAGGAAGTTGGAGATTTTTAAATAGGGTGAGTAAGCAAGACCTCCCTGAGAAGAGACTCTTTGAGTAATATCCTGCAGGAAGTGAAGGGAACTGGGGAAGAACATTCCCAGCATAGGAATATCAAAGGCAAAGGCCATGAGGTGAGAGTATGCCTAGCAATGCTGGCAGGTTTGAGGACCATTGAGAAGCCCAATATGGCTGAAGTGGAATAAACAAATTGGGCTGCAGGAGAGAGATGGGGTTAAACAGACAAGCAGGGACCAGATTCTATCCCTGGTAGGTCATCCAGGGAAGAGACTTTTCTGTGAGTGAGATAGGAGACCGTGGGATGCCTGGGTGGCATAGAGGTTTAGCGCCTGCCTTCAGCCCAGGGTGTGATCCTGGAGACCTGGGATAGAGTCCCACTCCCCCATGGGGAGCCTGCTTCTCCCTCTGCCTGTGTCTCTGCCTCTCTCTCTGTGTCTCTCATGAATAAATAAGTAAAACATTTTTTTAAAAAAAAGAGAGAGAGAGAGAGAGAGGAGACCGTAAAAGCAGAGGACTATGAGCAGAGGAGAGGCATTTTAATAGGATCCTTCTGGCGGCAGAGTTGAAAGCAAGAGGGGACAAGGATAAAGGAAGGGAGAACTAGTTTCACAGGCGACTGTCCTTTCCTTGTTTGCTAGTCAAAACCATCACCACCTCTCACTGGGACTCTGTCACAGCTTTCTACCTGGGCCACCTCCTCCCTTTCTACCCCTTTCCTTCTCTATTCTACTGAATGGAGTCCTGCCAAATACCTGCTACTAGAACTCAAGCTCTCTATGAACAACGTGGCCCTGCCTTACCTTCCCCCTCCCCAACCTCATCTCCCAGATATCTCCACATACAACCCACACACCAACCACAATACGCTTGCTCATTGTTCCCAAATACATCTACATAATCTGACCTTGCCTTTGCTCTCTGACTGGAACCATCTCACCTCCACCTACTGAAACTTTCCCAGCCTGCCAAGGTTCTCCACAAATCCCACCTCCTCCGCAAAACCTCTCCTGATCCCTCAACTAGATGTTCCCTTGCCTGCCACTGAACTTCACACCATTGCATCTGTCCTCATTTATGGTCTTTCCATCTGTACTCGTCCTGTCTCCCTTCCTGGACTACAAGCTCCCTGAAGGCAAACCCTGGCTCACTCATCTTCATCTCCACCGCAGCATGGAGTACAGAATTCTTATAGAGTGACTTAGTCGTTGAATTAAATGATGACAACACAATCCTTCAGTGACCAAAATTCCTAACTTCAAATAGCCCCTTTAAAGCAGTTCCTCATCTCAGAGTACTATTTTACTTAGTTAGGATTATAAACATGTTGCAGTCTAACACAGACGAAAGTCTAGCAGAGAAAAACTTGTTATATTTTATGCTTATTAATAATGCTAAGCAGTTAAAAGATTAAAAGTGGACACAAAAATAAAATTTTTCTTATGATTAACTGCCACCCAAAGTTTTCTTTTTAGGAAGACACCCAGCTAAATTTGGAAGGCTTTAAAATGCTCTACCTCAAACCTCAGGAAAATTGATCCAGTTAAATATTTTAAGTGTTTATTTTTGTTGGTAAGATTTGATGCAATCAATGCTAATCTTTTTATGGAAAGGTGATTCAGACACACTAAAAAATTCTACTTTCTCCTTTGTGGTGTTTTAAAAACAGTCTTATTCCTGCATAATTTATAATAAGAATCAAGAAACACTGAGTCAGATTTTCCCAATGTCTATCATTTAAATGTGGAGGCAGAGAGTAGATTTGTATGGCCCAAATCATTTTTTAAGGACATACAAGTTATTAACTTAGACATACTGCCACCTCCCCTCTGAAGAAGCTAATACTGGCATCCAAATTTTGAATATGAAATAAAGCCTTAAAGGAGCTCCCCTCCCCCCTCCAGAAAGCAGGATAAGGGAAAAGAGGATCTGAGAATCAAACTCAGATTTAGGGCAGCCTGGGTGGCTCAGCGGTTTAGCACTGCCTTCATGAAGCCCAAGGTGTGATCCAGGAGACCTGGGATTGAGTCCCGCGTCGGGCTCCCTGCGTGGAGCCTGCTTCTCCCTCTGCCTGTGTCTCTCTCTCTGTCTCTCTACTCTCTGTGACTCTCATGAATAAATAAATAAAATCTTAAAAAAAAAAAAACCTCAGATTTAACTCAAAATGAAACCTTAGCAACAATTCTTTAATTCAAGGACTTAATGATGAATCTCAATTTTGTAATAAAAAATTATGTCAACAGTTGAATGACTCCCAGAGATTTAATTTGTCCTTTTGAAAATCAGATTAAATATTAGACTGTCATTTCCTATAAGTGATATGTATTATATAATCTGGAAGAAATCAATAAGTATAAGATAAAAATATGAATTAATTTTAAATACTTTTGTATTCAAACATTATTCCTACATCATCAATATCATTTGAATCATTTTTAGCAAGACATTTGCACTCCCATTACAACAGGATTCCTTTCTAACTGGAGAAAATGGTTCTTGACGTTCCAGTCTAAATACAATTAGAAAATTCAGTGCAAGTGAAAGTAAAAAATGAACTAGCTCCGTGTCCTAATCGGGAGATTTAGATGCAGACATGAGATCAGTCATCACAATGAAGGCATAGGATGAAAAAGCTGAGCATGTATCAGAAACACTGACAGGAAAATCCGAAAGGAAACAGATTTTATAAACCAACTACCCATCACTGCCAAAAGACTCCTCTTATTCTTTCCTTTAAAAGAAAATAACATCCTAATCTATCATATTGAGCTTAGAAAAGGTGGAGAAGAGAAATCCCTAGCAGCACAAGATAATATGCAATAAAACAGTATATAGATTCAATTTGGAAAAACAATCTTAAAGTTCCATAACAGCTTTTGAACCTGCATGCCTTAATTAAGGTGCCCTTCCCCCCAGAAGTAGATCCTGAATCAAAGATTCAAGTCCATGTAGTTTATTTGGGAGGCTCAGAAAATGCCCTTCAGGGAATGCAAATGTGATGCACGTGAAGCAAGAGCAGCCTACGAGGGATGTAGAAATAAATATAACTCAGAAACTGTCTCACCCATCAACACTGGGGTGTTCATCAGTCAGTGGTTAAGACTGCTGTGTGAGGGTGGGAGAGTGTTAATTCCTTGGCACTTGATGCCAGCCTCGAGCAGGAGCCAGCAGGCTTCCCAGCCCACAAAGAAAACCTTCAGGCAAGGAAGATCTGCAGACCTTCAGGCAGGGACCAGCAGTCAGCAGGCCTCCACCTGGAAGACCATAAGGTTCCAGAGGCAGACAGGTCATTAACATCATTGTCTACACGTTATCCTCCAAAGGCATGCCATTTCCCTGTAAGGTCATATCCATCATTGGTGTTTGACACCAGTCTTCTCTTACTTATCTCAACTATCCAACAGAGCATATATTTCACATTCAAGCCATCTGCCCCTAAGCTATAAGTATATACAACTTAGCTTACCTACATCTGGGATTTCTCCCCTTCAGTCTACTTTATATTCTTCATAAATTAAACTCTAAGTCTACTCCTGTGTTGTAAATTCTTTAATATCAAACTTGCTCTCAATTCAGTTGTAAAAACAAAATTTTTTTTTTACTCCTTTGGTAATAGCTTGTATAACCCGTAAGACATCCAAGAAAAATGATGGGTTGGTCCACATGGTAAGAGCTCAGTCCACACTAGCATCTAAAGAATCCTTGACAGTATTAGAGCAAAGGTAATTTTTGCAATCCCAAAAGTACACACCGTCACAAAATAATGGGTGGGGGAGGGCAGGTAGGGGAGGCAGATCTAAAACATAACTGGGAAGGAGCATTTTCAAAGAAATGTGACTTCACTTGCTTTGAACAAATATAGTCCTAAAAATAGTCTAATCTAACCATCATTTTTCTTTGGCTGCAGGGACATTCCATAATATATTAGTAACATCCTTCTAGGCCTGAAAGGTTCCTCTTTGGCTTTAGCATTTATACAGTCAACGATAAAGTTAGTCGATAAGGTGTCTAGGTAAATTTTACCTAAAACAACCTTAACTCATGTAATCACTTGGTAAATATTATGCTTCCTAATTTAAAAAAAAAAAAATCAATTCAGAGAATTTAGGAAATAGGCTGAAATTAATGGGAATGTAGCATTATAGGTTTCTTGGATTACACAGACTTATTGTCACTCAACAGATATACTGTACATTGAACAATATTGCATGGTTAAAATTACTTTAAATTATTTAGATTTGGGCTTACCTAACCTAGTTTTAATAAAGTCCTTGTTTTTAAGACAAATAAAAATGAAAAAATAGACAAGTACACATCATTCTGGATATTCAGAGGCCCATTCCTTGGCTACTCTTCTTTATGGCCACTTACAAACATCTAACAGAGCCACTGTTGAATGAGACTGCTGTCTCATGGTAGATTTTATATTTAGGTGAGGATCAGGACACACTAACAAACCCATCATTCCCCTGAAACAAACCATTCATCATACAATGCAATATTTTAAAAATCAGACATCTCTCTTGACAGTAAATGACATATATAAAAATCTGTATCTTTAGGATCTAAATCAGTGCTTCTCAAGCAATCTGTGATGAAGAACCATTTCTAAATTAATATTTCCAGTCTATCATGTGCTGGTACTTTTGCAAAATGTATTAAAGATGAATTATAAGAAAACAAAAATTTTAAAACACAAAATGTAAGCCCAGCTCATTATTATTATTATGAGATTCGATAGGCATAAAATTATTGTAAAATTTAAAAGTTCCTCAATGCTCAGTAACAGTTGGTGGGCAACACTGACTGGGACCCATACTTTGAGTAGCACTGATCTAAAATACCACGTGCAAAAAAGTAAAATAAAACAAAATACTGTGCACATATTCACTCAAAAAATATATACTTTACCTCTGACATTCTTTCCAAATCCCATAGAAGAAACTTTTTTGTCCACTTGTTCACTATTGTTTGATTTCTCCTTCATAACATCATCATCACTAACAACATCAGCAGAAAATTTTTTCTTTTTCTTTTTCTTGTGTCGAGGAGGAAGCTTTTTTGGAAAAGTAAACATTGGGAATATCACAAGAAACATTGCAATGGCACAAAGGAGGAATCCACTCCACCTAAAAAATTGGGAAATGTGAATAGCATTTATGGCTTTTGCATTATGAGAGAGAACAAATTAGCAAAGTAGATGTTCATGGTAATAAAATTCTCCAGGGAGAACTTTTCACCTTCATCAATTGTAAAGCAGTAGGAAGTTGGACAAACTAAGAAAACATAGGACTTTTCCCTTTCTATGTTATAAATGAGAAATCTACCCGATAGTCATACTAGTTTTATAATGAACATTATAATTAGTAATTGACTAGAATTTGTTAGTTCTGCTATAATGTGCATTTCATAAGTCAAAAAATATTAAAATAAGTCTATAACTCATAAATATAATAGAAAAATAATATAGACTCTATAGCATGTTTTGTGGGCCAAAACAGACATGTTTTTCTTAGAAGAAAACCATTCATACCTCATGTGAAAGGTATTTTAAATTACTAGTGGCATTCAAATATTTTTCTGCAAACACTTAAGAATATATTGACCCTCTTAGCTAACCCTTACAATACTTAACCATAAGGGCCACTGAAGACATTTATATTTGATCACTGTCTTCAAGAACTTACAACCTACTTGTAAGGGAACTACAAGTATAAGAAACAATCTCCAAGAAATGCAAGAATGTGTACAATTAAGTGTTAGATCATGTGGTATAGATTATGAATGCTATAAATAAATAATTCCATGAATCAGTTATTAATAATCCAGTGTGCTATTTTCAAAGATACTTAAAGGTATATCAAATAAAGAATCTTAAACAATTGCTGGGGGAGGAAGGCTTTATTTTGAGAAGATTGCTCAGAGCAGACTTCTATTAATTTCCATTATTCAATATATAACCAAGAACTCGGTGACTGATATAGATCAGGTACTCAAAAAATTTCCCGAATAAATAAACACAATAAGATAGGTTTAAATATTTTTCTTAGGGGCAGCCAGGTGGCTCAGCGGTTTAGCGCCGCCTTCAGCCCAGGGCGTGATCCTGGAGTCCAGGGATCAAGTCTAAGGTCGGGCTCCCAGCATGGGGCCTGCTTCTCCCTCTGCCTGTGTCTCTGCCTCTCTCTCTCTCTCTCTCTCTCTCATCTCTCATGAATAAATAAAGAAAATCATAAATATATATATATATTTTTTTTTTTTTTCTTAAAAGTCTGCAGAGAACATAGCTATGATCATACCTGGCCCTTGTAGGGACCTGGCTGCTGATGAGGCCTTTACTAGTAATCCGCACCTGCTTGTCTATCACCTTTGAATCTCTTTCCACAAGTTCTGCATTCAAGTCCTTTGAACCCCTTCAGTTCCCAAACCACAACAGGACAAATGGCATAATATATGGGACAGTTCTTGAGCTGAGGCTTCAGATAAATGTGTTTTTTTGTCTTATCTTTACCTCTTACTAGCCCTAAGGTCCTGGGGAAATTATTTCACTTTCCCAAACCAACCTTCTCATCTGAAAAGGGAATAGTACTAACTGCTTTTTGGAGTCATCAAAATTAATAAGACAATGTATATAATGGACCTGAAAAAAAAAATGCCTGCCCACAAATCAATCAATTCACAGTAGCTAGTTTTGTTGTGATTTTTTGTTTTGTTTTGTTGATCTGTACTCAGCCCCTCCCCATACCTCCACTCAGAGCCATCGACTTAAAATTCAATGCAAACATTAAAGATTCACTTTAGTAGTCCAGAATAAGAATAAATAACAGAAGGAGGGGAAGAATTATAGCAAATATATATATATGAAAATCGTATAAATGTTTGGGGTTTTTTCAAAGCAGAGCAAACTGGTCCACATTCTTCAATGGTCTTCAGTACATTGACAAAATGCATGATACAATGACGAGGCCAGTGATGACCCCGAGATAAGCTAAGTAAGACAGAAACTGTGTGTCATATGTTAGGAAAAGACCCACCAGTAAAAGCTAAAACTGAAAAGCCAGGTCTTTAAGTCCCTTTCACAAACCATTCCTCAGAGACTATTCACAAAATGGGCCAGTTAAGTATACTAACTAAGAGCTTCACTCTGGATTCAGTTTCTTATCCCAGCTTTCACTGCCTCTGAGGCTTTAGGCAAGTTATCCAAATCAGTGCATCAATTTCCTCATCTGTAAAATGGGCATAATCTCAGTGACTAGATATAGTTGTTATATATAGAAGGCTTAAACATGATGCTCAAACAAAAATGTTTGTGACGCTCTTAGTAGAATGCTTGACACACAGTAAGCCCCCAATAAACATTAGCATTATTCATTTCCTTCCTTCACTCTTTCAGCATGTATCTGTTGAAAAAATCCACCATTACTGCTAGGCATTGGACTAAATAGCATTATATCAAATAACTCTGCCATTGGTCAAAGTAGAAGTCTGTTACAAACAGTGCTACTCAATAAATAAAATCCCATTTTTAATATTGGATCACTAAAATAAATAAAAGTTCCTGAACATTGATTAAATTCAAAGGACTTAAAAAGAGCTAACACATACTAGGTCGCAAGAACTACTTAAAGCTCCACTTATATAGACTCATTATTCCTCACAACAACCCTATGAAGTAGAGACTGCAATCACTTCCATTTTGTGGATTTCTTTAAAACCAACAACTGATGCTGAGTGAAATAAGTCAATCAGAGGACAATCATCATATGATTTCACTCACATGTGGAATATAAGAAGTAGTGAAAAGGATCATAAGGGAAAGGAGGGGAACTGAGTGGGAAAAATTAGAGAGGGAGACAAACCATGAGAGACTCCTAACTCTGAGAAACAAACAAAGGGTTGCGGAAGGGGAGGTGGATGGGGGAGGGATGGGGTAACTGGATGATGGGCACTGAGGAGGGCACTTGATGGGATGAGCACCGGGTGTTATACTATATGTTGGCAAATTGAATTTACATTTTTAAAAATGTAAAAAAAAACACAACAACAACAGTAACAACTGAGGCACAAAGAAATTAAGCAACTTCCCCCAGGGTCACACAACTATTAGGTGGCAGACTGAGTTTTAAACCCTGGAGAGTATGGCTTTGAGGTCTGGACTCTTGATTATTCTGCTTTGCATCAATTGGACTGATGTCTAGAAAACTTTTAAAAGTTAGCATAAAGTACTCATAAACCTAAATCTCCTGTCTCATTCCTTCTCTCTGCCCCAAGTTGGTCCTCCTCCCTTTTCTCCCTCCCTCTAATGTTCCCTTATTGCCATACTCTTTTCACGGATACCCATATAGAACACAGAATATACACTGAATGTTCACAAACATATTTTAATGATCTACTTTTCTGAGAATTTAAAAAAAAAAATCCTTGCTCTGATTTATTTCAGAACTGCAAAGAAAACAGTAGTTGAGTCCAAAAATTTCACTATTGGTGAAGAACTTAAAATTCCAGTGTTATTCCCCTAATGCTGACAAGGGAACTTCCTTTTGTACGATTTGAATTTTCCACCAGCTCAGGTTCATCTAGATCTTAGCACATCCATCTTCAAAGAGCACTGCTTATGAAAATAAGAAGTGTGATGTAACTTAATTAATATTTCTTAACCACTTTGAAAACAGACGGCGTTAAGCATTATTCCCACGTATTTCAGTTATGGGATTATCTTATAATGAAATGCAGAGATAACACAGTGCTCTAAGAAACTCTTTTGAAAGTAGTTAGTTGACACTAATTTCGAATCCTGAACTATTCTGTTATATAATGAACGTGTCTTATGAATGCATACCTATTACTAATGCACGTTAAATGAATTCAGGAAGCCAACACTTTTTGGTTAGTGCTTGCTATCATGACTAAATAACTTCTGTTCAAGTTGAGGGTTATGAAGAATTGAAACACAGTCCCAGCTAAGTGGATAAATAACCTAACATCCAAAGTTGGAGTTCTCATTCTAAGTCTTATTTAGCAAAACAATTAAGGGCTAGCAAGTGAGAGAAGAGCTAAATCTCTCCAGCACTATGTTGGAAAAACAATTAACGGGTGAAAAGATTCACCAAGAATGTGACAATGGAAGGGGGGTGGGGCTGGAGATTTGGGCTGTCCGGGAAGGTTGACAAGGCAGAAACACAGATATAAGGAAGTGGGAAGAAAATATTTTTTAAAAGGCACAGAAAAGATAATGAAAGCTAGGACCCCAGGGCCCAGGAAAGCCCCAACACAGCCAACTTCTCCTCCTCTATTCTGCTATTTTTTTTTCAAGATTTTATTTATTTATTCATAAGAGACAGAGAGGGAGAGAGAGTCAGAGACACAGGCAGAGGGAGAAGCAGGCTCCATGCAGGAAGCCGGATGTGGGACTCAATCCCAGGTCTCCAGGATCACGCCCTGATCTGAAGGCAGCCGCTTAACCGCTGAACCACCCAGGCGTCCCTACACTCTGCTATTTATAGCAAAAAATGCCTCAACCCCCAAGAAGGTGGATTAAGCTGGTGCTCCCAAGCCCTCAGCATTAGTTTCCCATTGCTGCTATAACAAACTACTCTACACTGAGTGGCTTAAAACAACTTAAGCTATAGTTATCTTATAGCTCTGGAGGTCAGAAGTCTCAAGTGGGTTGGCAAGGCTGAATTCTCCCTGGAAGCTCTAGGGAAGAATCTATTTCCTTGGGTTTCCTAGCTTCTAGAGCCCCGAGAGCATTCCTTGGCTCACCATACCTTCCTCCATCTCCAAAGGATGTTGCTTTAACCTCTGCTGTAATCACTGTATCTCTTTCTCTTACTCTGACCTTCTTGCCTCCCTCTTTCCCTGATAGGGACTCTTGTGATTATTCGGGGCCTTTTCCCACCCAACATCAGGATAACCTCCCAATTTCAAAACCCTTAACAATCACATCTGCAAAGTATCTTTTGCCACGTAAGCCAACACATTCACAGGTTCCGGAGATGTTAGGACATGGATAGTTCTGGGGGATTACTGTTCTGCCTTCCACTCCCTTCTAGATGACTTTTAGCTGTTTTTCATATTCCCGTGGCAGAAAATTAACTATCCTTTAACTACAAGGGTACTACGACTTGAACTATCAATAACAATAAGTGGAATGAAAAATTTAGTAAACAATTCTTACCAGTTTCCAATGAAACGAGGATCATTCTGGTCAAGGTTAACAGGATTTCTGGGATCGACATAAAAACCAATAAGAAGTCCACCTAATAAATATCCCACTGCAGGACCAAGTGCTCCCATGACATACATGATGGCTGAGAAAACAGAAGCGGAAACGTGAAATACAGCAACATATTACTAAACTTCAAGAGTGGTCTAATTTCAGTCATACCACACATATATATGTCTAAACCCAGGTAACAGCATCCAAAAACAAAGAACTTTAGAGATGTGTCTATATTTATATTTGGATTTCAAATCATGCCCTTTATTTAGCTGCTGTCTGTTATCCTTTTAGAACATGAGAATCATCTCTGGACAGCTTTTCAGTTGCTTCTTTTTTTTCTTTTTTTTTTTTTTTTAATATAAGTGGTCAGGCCCCACCCCAGACTGACTAAATTTAAATATCTGAAAGTGCTAGTTAATGAGAAGTCACTGGAAAACCCAGAGAAGATAAAAGTTGTTTCAAGAGTAAAAAATAAATAAATAAAAGATCATCTCAAGATAAGAAGAAAAAGAAAAAAAGTAAATGTCACTTGTCACAGCTGGAAGATTCCAGCAGAATGAAGGAACTTTTCAAATCACCATTTTGGAATCAAAGAAGAGCTCACAATGCATTTGGTTTACTGTTAATTGAAGAATCTTAAAGATCAATAAGTCTCCTTAAATGGCATGAGGGAAAAGATCCAAACAACACCAACTCACAGCCTGAATTAGAAAATAATTTCTTAAAGCACATTCCACTAAAGGGATTGTGTCAGTCGATCAGAAAGGGTATCATTCTGTCCAAAAAAATTTGGCCATCAAAATGGGCTTATAGCAAAAAAATAACAATAAATTCACTGCCATTCCTTTATACTGTTTTCACTGCTGTGATTCAAATAAAAAATAATAATCTTGACAATTTTTAAATTTTCATATAGGATACGATATTCCTTGAAAGTCACAGAAAAATCTAGCCACACTACAAACCCACTTTTTTTCCTGTTAAAAATTACTTATTTGGGAAGAAATCTATAAATACATTTAGGATACTTCTGTGTTCTCGGCATGATAAACTCAGGGGTCACATATTTCTCATTTCTGTTGCCATCATGTATTTAAACCACTGAATAAATAACAGTTTGCCATATCCTTTAAATAGCACTATATTTACCAAAAAGCAAATTGAACTAATCAGAATAGCTTCACCTTACTTTATCTTCTGCACCTCAATAAACTTTGAATAAACTTGTACCTCCTGTTACTTATAACTACAGACAGTAATTTAACACCTGCTCTCACTTTTCACACTATTTCAAAGGAGAAAGCACAGTGTTTATCTATTTTACAGAATCATCTGCTTGTAACAATAAGACATTAGGTGCTTCGGCTTCTCCATCTGTGTTTGGAAGTGGAGAATGGAAGCACAGCCACAAGGAATCAGTATTCTTTTGGAAGCATGCTCTTAATAAAATTAAAATTAGAATTTTGTTAGATATCTTGTAACCTCTCTGTTTATAGCCTGAAACGGAACTCAAGAAGAAAAACTGCTTTTTCAGTCCCAGGTTTTCCAATATGCATATGAAGATAAAATTTATGTTTACACCTCCAGGCAAACCAGCACCATTTACAACTTAAAACTGTAATGAGGCCAAAATGTGACATGAATCATCTTCCCAAAATAGTTCTTCTGGCATGAAAGAGTCTGTCTTACAAACACAGACAGGGAAAAGGGTATTTCCACCATACTGTTTATGCCTGGGGCACTTGAGTGCAGCATCTCGGAATGCCAAGCAGCAGTGTGCAGGATGTGTGCTGGCAAGACCTCACAATTACACAGTGAATGGAAAACCAATTAAATAACATTCACCAAAAAACCTTAACTACTTTATAAAATACAGAGAAAGCTTTATAAAATGCAGCTATGTAATCAGAAGAAAAATGTTTGTAATATATGGCAAACACTTAGGCCCACTGAATCATTCTCATCAATAAGTATATACAGATATCTATATAATTGTACTATATATTATACAATATATAATATAGTGTCACAACTGTCCTACATATGCTATATCTATAAATCAGTAAGTATATAACACTAGAGATAGAGATAGAGAATAACTGGTTGACATGGTCCCACTGAGTAAATAAACCATTCTGGCCACTGAGCTAACATTTATGAATTGATTAACTACTGGAACTTATTCAGAGCTTATTAGAGGGGCAAATCGTCAATGCAAATTCATATCACTCATTCTCCCAGTCCAAAACTCCCAATCACTCCCCCTCCCCCAGCTGCCTAAAAAAAAGTCTAAACTGCTCTATCTGGAGTTCAAGGGTAGGACAAGTTGACCTCCCGTGGCCATTTCCATCTTAAAACCTACTGCCTGCACTCAGGGCTCCATGCAGACTGACTCTCAGAACAGACCTGGGCAAAGCCACTTGTCTTGTCTCAAGGACCCACAGTGCCCCCAGGCCTTCCTGTCTGTCTGAATCTTGCCTTTTCTTCAAGGCCCAACCAAGTCCAGCACTGTTCATCCTCCCTTAAGTGGTTTTTCTAACTCCTCAGAATCTTAGTAGATGACATATTGTCCATTCCAGTGGAAGACATATTATATATCCAGTGCTTTATGCCTATCAGTAAAAGATTTTAAACATTTGCCCACAGTGTACTTTTCTGCATAATGTGTATTTACCACCAGCCTCGTTCTCTTGGCTTGCACCTAAATTTATCAGTAAACCCTGCTGGTTCTACCATCAAATCACATCCAATAAGCAGCTCCTTCTCCGCGCCTCTAGCTTGGCCCAAGCCACTAATGTCACTCATCTGAAAAATTGCTCCAGGCCTTCCAACTGGTATCCCTGCTTCTGGCCTTCCTTCCCTACAATGAATTTTCAACACAGCAGCCCTAACAACCCTCCAGAAACATGAGCTAGGTCATGTCACTTCTTTGCTCACACCCTCCCAAGTGGCTTCCCACCTCACCTGCAATAAAAGCCCAAATCCTTTTGTGTGGTTATAAAGACCTACCCACACATTGGCACCACTCCCTATTATCTCTCTGCTCCAGTCAAATTGACCTTCTTACTCTTTTTCAGCCTTTCAGGCACATTCCCATGTGGGGGTGTTAGTGCTTGCTCTGCGTGTGGGGGAGGAGGGGGTGTAAGGCTCTTCCCCCAGGTAGCCACATGGTACATTCCCTTACTTACTCCCTCCAGATAGGTATTCAAACAGTGCCTTCTCACTGTGGCCTTGCTAGGTTGTCCATTCTATCTAAAAATTTAAAACTTTTTCCTCATTCTTCCCACTCTTCCTCTGCTTTCTTTTGCTCCTGAGCATATGTTGCCACCCAACACACTCTATATTTCCTTTGTTCATCTTGGTTATCAGCTGTCCTCCTCAACTAGAGTATAAGCTCCAGGAAGGCAGGGATCTTGCCAGTGGTGTTCACCGACAAAGCAATGTAGCAGGCACTCGACCCATTTTGTTCCCATTGCTCATTACCTTCATCACTCCCAGTCAGTCTATAAATGTCCTGTCATTATTAACAACAGTATATGTCAGTGATAAAAGTTGTTTTCAGTGTATATCACCTCTTGAGATATTAGCTAATCGCTATCAAGTGGACAGTTTCATGTTTTATGACTGTGTCTCATCAGATCTGAGTACACGGTCATTGGTTTTCTCTCATGATGGGAAGCTTATACTGGGAGTACAGGCTATCCATCGAACTAGCAATAGAAATAGATCTAGAAGTTCCAAGTTTCAAGAGTGGTCTAATTTCAGTCATACCACATATATGTCACAGTTAAACCCGGTTAACAGCATCCAAAAGCAAGGAACTTTAGAGATTGTATATATATTTATATTTGGGTTTCAAATCATGTCCTTTATTTAGCTGCTGGCTGTTGTCCTTTAGAACATCAGACTCATCTGGAGAATCTTCCTCCTGCACCCCAGTGGACTGTCCTACATTCCCCCTGGACTGTACACATTTCAGCTTCATTTCCCTTTGAGAGAACCCTGGACGATTCCATTCATTTGAAATTAAGTATGCCTTGCTCTTCATTTTTATTTCTTTCCTCAAATGTTTATATCTTATCTTTTGAAGTAACTCTTTCTCCTTGACAGCAGGAGACAGTACTATGCAGTGGTTAAATCACAGACTACAAACTCCTGGGTTCGAATCCCTGCTTCCATTATGCATATAAAGTGCTAAGGATATAACAAACATGAAGAAATATTAAGTTGTATTTTTATATGTTGAATGATCACCTATTCATTCTCTAACAATTAAATATTAATTAAATTAACATTAATTAATATAATAATAAATTAACAAGTAATTAATTAAATATTAATTTTATATAAGCCAAATGCATACACTATTTAACAGAAGACATACTTATCTTTATATTACCTTAATAAATTATAATTTCTGGAATCCTAATTCTGATCCAGGAGTTAGTTTTGACAATGGCCTGGGCAGATGGAAGTGGGAAAAGAGAATATCCAGACCTTTTTTTCCTCACACAAAGGCCAGTATAGAGTTATCTTCCTGAAGCTGAGAATATGCCTGTGGCTATTATTCTTTCTAAATAACTTTTAGGGTTTTTTTCTAATGATTATAAAATATAATACGAACACAAAAAATTTTTTTAAATCACCAACAATCCCTACCATCCAGATAATGATGGTAATAATAGTAATAAATATTTTTACTATTCATACACTGTATAATTGTTTTAAGTAGCTAGAATTATACAGTACTTATTGCTCTATAATGTGCTTTTTCATATAATACCTCAAACATTTCTTATGTCAATAAATTCTTCTGGAACATTTGTTATGGTTCAAGGATGTGTCATCATGTGGCTCTGACATACTTCCTTTAATAATCCTTAGCTGCTTCCTATCACCAATTTCTGATTGGGGCTATTACTCTGAAGATTATATCAACCTTATGTTATTACACATGCTGCACAGAACTAGACTCCAATCTTAGGATTACAATCCCCACCCCAAACCAATCTCAGCTGGGTGAGCTTTTGTAGAGCTAAGAAGCCACTATTAAGTGAAACGGGCTTTGGAGTACCTGAGTGGCTCAGT